TCGATTTGAATCTACCCAACCCAATTAATTTGGGATGGTTCAAGTAAAAGAATTGATTTGAATCTACCCAACCCAATTAATTTGGGTTGGTTCAAGTAAAAGTTGGGTTAATTTTGGGATTCTTGAAATGCTAAAAATTAGCTACTGGGCAGACTCTTAATTCAAATTATTGAATAATTCTGAGCCAAACCAAGCTGATTTAGATGTTTAAAATTTAAAAAGGTGAAATGTGCAAAAAACCAAATGAAATGGACACTAACTGCATTATTCCCTTTTTATATATGGTAGTTAAACGAAGCGGATGATAAGCGTATATTACTAATTTCTGTTTATGTATATGATGGCTATAACTTATTTTACTCAAATTCAAAATGGACGTTTAGTTTTCATTAGAATGAATAACTAAATGTTTTATAAGATCATATCAATTTAATTTTGGAATGAATATTTTATATGATTATATTTGCATGTAGGTGTGTTATCAGGTCTTGTGGTTCCATTTATATTCGTCAGCTTTTATTTTGTTCAAGCAATAGAGTAAATATTCCAAAATTGAAATGAGTTAATCAATTTGGTTTTGTTATAATTTGGATCAAGTATAATTCGAAAAAGAGGTAAAACCGAGCGATACTTAATTCAAGGATTAATTTGGCCTAGAAGACTAACGAAGCCTAAGTTGCACCTCAATGATAACGGAGTTAACCAAACATCAATAGAAAAATAAATATTATTACCGAAAGTAAATATGCAATTATAACCAAACACTTGAGAAGGAAATATAAGAATGAACAAAAACAAACGCAACTAACTGTATCCAAAGGTGGTGGTCAGATTTGGTGAGTAGACGACAGGAGGGTGGCGAGGCCATGGATGGCTGTAGGAGGAAGGGAAAGTTGCATTCGGCTGGCTGAAATCAGTGGAAAAACAGCGTGAGGAATCAGCCACTTGCTGTCCCAGGTGGCTGTAAGGAAGAAAGTGTGCTGGACTGCAGGAATAATAGTCGGAAGTATTGTTCCTGGCGGTAGCAGCAAGTGTTGTTCCAGGCTGGACTGCTGGGAGTGAGGACAGGAGGAATGAGAGAAACAAGTGGCTAGCTTACAGGAAAAAGACAACAAAGCTGATGTCTCGAGCGACAGCAGTGAGGCAAGGAAGTATCTGCAAGGGAAAGGTTTGCAGGGAGTAGGGAAATACGGAATACACACCACTTTAGGATGACTTACAGCCGGAGCACCTTCTCGGCTTTGGATACCGCCCTAGAAGGGAGAAATTGAGACGCTGACAGGTGCACTGACAGAAAACCAAGCAAAAACTGAAAACCTAAAACAAAGGAAGCAAATATATAAACTATAAATAATAAGGATTAGACCTAGTTGTTGAAAGGAGTCACCACAACCATGGAAAGGAGTCGGCCGGCTCTCCCTTGCCTAGGTTGATCCGCCCAGGCATAAGAAAAGCAGATGGACCTCCTGCACCTCTCTCAGCACACCCACGTCACTCATAAATGGATCAAAGGGTAAAACCGAGCAATACTTGATTCAAGTATTACTTTGGCCTAGAACTAACTGACAAAGCTTGAGTTGCACCCTTATATATGTTGTGAAAAACGACGGAAATAAAACGAAAAATGGAACGAGAAAAATTATAAAAATGGAACGAGAAAAATTGCATGTAGAAAAAACACCAGAACAACACACAGATTTACGTGGTTCGGCAAATTTGTCTACTTCCACGGAGCTGCAAAGGATTTATTTCTTCGAGAAATTACACCGTCGAGCGCCTCGACGTTTACAAGAAAATCTCTATTTTCTTCACTCCCTTCCCCCCTCTCTCTCTTCCTCTCTTTCTCTTAGCTCTCAAGATGACTTGGCTTGGTCTTGCTTGACTTGCATTTCCTTTAAACCAAAAGAGACTATTTATAAAAACCATGAGAGCGGTAGATGGGAGGTAGGTGGGTGTGATAGGTGAGCGGTAGATGAGATATTTAATTAAGAAGCTAATTAAATTCGGTGGGTCGGGTCTCCACATTACCAAACAATTCTCTCACTTGGAGACTATGACATTGATTGCATCACATACTAGCTGTACCGACCTTTTCCTCAAACATGATATCCTCCACCTCTGCAACTCGAAGCCCTTGTCTTCATGCCAGAAGACCAGTTAAAGTTGAGCACAACTTCAACTTCTCATGAGTAAAACCCTCAGTTGACATATCACCGTCAACGTAGCCTCGTGTACCACCAAGCTCTTTCCTAGCTCTTTCCTAGGTTACTCTTGTATTTGCTTACAACTCTCACTGCATGAGCAATATCCTGCCCCTGCTGAAAGCCCTTTTCAACAAATCCAGTCTTGTACATCTTACTGTCACCAAACACAGTTTTCACCTGGTACACTCACTTGTTGTGCAATGCCTTCTTCCTTGGCAGGAGCAAATGCTTCCTTGGAAGAAGTTCTGCCAGTTCCCAAGTCTGATTCCTTGGCAGAGAATCCGTCTCCTCCTTCTTGGTTAGCTCTCACTTGCCTGAATTCTTATCTTACAAGATTTCTTCATAACTATGTGTTTCTCCACCATTTGTCTGTACAAGGTCTGGTTTTCCTGCCTTTGGCGCTCTGCCACTTTTCAGAAAATTGACATTCTTCTGCTTCCCCATAATGCACATCTGACTCATGTGTCCACGCTTGAGTAAACCTGTAGTCATATATAGTGTGTTAGTTTTCTTACCCTGAGTCATTACTAATGCTCCTTTGGTAACCTTCCAGGTGCTATCTGAAAAGACCACTAAATGACCACCCTCATTGAGCTGCCCAACAAAGATGAGGTTTTTCTTCAACTCAGGAACGTGTCTGACCTTTTAAAATGTTCATTTGCTCTTATTAGGGAGTGCAATATCAACGTCTCTCATCCCCACCACGTTCAGAGCTTTTCCATCAACCAAATGTACCTTCCCAAAATTACCTGCAACATAATTTAACATTAACTCTCGACGGAAAGATATATGGAAGGAAGCCCCTGAATCCAGTATCCAGTATCCAGTCATCAACAGAACTGTGATCTGCCAGCAATAATGCATAATGTATTTCTTCAGTTACAACATTAGCGCTATCGTTTTTCTTCTTATTAGGATTCTTGCAGTTCTTTTTTATGTGGTCAGCTTTGCCACAATTCCAACAGGTTGTCTGTTGACCAGACTTTGATTTTAATCTTTCTCTATTTGAGTTTCTGTCATGTGATCTCCCTCTGGAATCAACATTCAGCGCCGAACTTGAACACGAGACCTCGCCAGAATCCTTCCTGCGCACCTCCTCAGCCAAAATCAAATCACGAATATCATCATATTTCAACTTAGATTTACCTGCAGAACTGTCAATTGTCATCCTCATAGCTTCCCAACTATTTGACAATGAAACAAAAAATATCAGCGCACGTATCTCATCATCAAAATCAATTCTAACAGACGATAAGTAATTTGTGACAGTGTTGAAATCATTTAGGTGTTAAGCAACAGACACACCTTCCGTCATCTTCAAGTTGAATAATTTTTTTATCAGATGCACCTTGTTATTCGCCAATGGTTTTTCATACATATTTGATAAAGTCGCCATGAGATCTGCAGTAGTCCTCTCCTTGATGACGTTGTGGGCGACCGATCTCGACAAGGTTAATCGTATAACCCCCAAAACTTGTCGATCCAACAGATTTCATTCTGCCTCGTCCATCTTTTCTAGTTGCTTTCCCAATAACGGAAGATGAAGTTTCTTCCCATAGAGGTAGTCCTCTATCTGCATCCTCCAGTAATCAAAATCTGTCATTAAATTTCTCGATCCTCGATGTCATCACTTCGTCTCCGTCCATCGTTCTTCCTTATATTCGAACTCAAAGCTCTGATATCATTGTAAAAAAATGAAAAAACATCGAAAATAAAGCGAAAAATGGAACGAGAAAAATTGCACGCAGAAAAAAACACTAGAGCGACACATATATTTACGTGGTTTGACAAATTTGCCTACGTCCACGGAGCTGCAGAAGATTTATTTCTTCGAGAAATTACACCATCGAGCGCCTCGACGTTTACAAGAGAATCTTCATTTCTTCTCTCGCTTCCTCTCTCTCTCTCTCTCTCTCTCTCTTTTCCTCTCTTTCTCTTAGCTCTCAAGATGACTTGGTTTGGTCTTGCTTGACTTGCATTTCCTTTAAACCAAAAGAGACTATTTATAGAAACCATAAGAGCGGTAGGTGGGAGGTAGGTGAGCGGTAGGTGAGAAGTGGTAGGTGAGAGGTAGGTGAGATACTTAATTAAGAAACTAATTAAATTTGGTGGACCGGATCTCCACATTACCCAACAATATATGGATCAAAGGGTTTATCTTTATATATTTTCTTCAAAACCAACAATACTACGCTTTTTATAGATCAATCTAATCATCAAAGTATTCTACAAAAATATTTCCTTTAAACCTCTTATTTAATCATTTCTAGTGGTATTTTCATCTTTCCTTATAATCTTCATATTTCATGACTTTTAGAAGGCATGAATTTTTAAAAAACTAGAAGAGGCCATTTGGTTGCATGTATTTGGAATTCTAAAATATTCAAAATATAACGTGAAGTAAAAATCATATATTTGAAATAATTAGTCGATGTTTGATTTCTTGTAAAACAAATTTAAACTTATTCAAGCTTAATTCAATCAACTGAGCACAAAAAGCTCATCTTATTTTGTTTGATTCATATGCACAATAATGGGCAAGTTACTATGAGCTTTAAAATGCATTGATCCAATTCTGTTCCAGAATTATTTTGCAACAAATCAGACAATAAGAAATAAGGACTGATCCAATTCTGTTCCAGAATTATTTTGAAACAAATCAGACAATAAGAAATAAGGACCACACCAAAAAACTAAATTTGCAATTAAATAAAGTAACTGAGATTCCCAACCATAGTTTTCAAAATAATAAGCTGGATAAGTAGCACAAATATCATAAGAAAGTAGAGATCTTACTCTCTTGCTCCTCTTTGGTTCGTCATCACTTACATTGCCATCATCATCTACAGCTTTTCTAGGAAAAATAAAATATGATTGTCAGATGTACAATATCATAATGAATTCATAATTTAATAAAGCTTCAGACGCAATAAAAATTGTTATCCTCTAACCTTCTCTTGGAAGATCTGTCTTCACCACCTGCGTCAGAAAAGCCAACATCTGGAACCCTGCTGACTGTTTCCTTAAGGAAGTCGAAGATACTGAATTTGTGCACGCACTGCTTTCTGAAAAATGAATTAAATTAAAAAAAGCAATCTAGAAAATTCTATAAAAGGCATCAAATGAATTTATATTAAAAAAAAACTTACAGATGTGAAGAAATCATAGTTTTTGCTCCTCTTTTAAGAGTGATGTCATATGTCTTGTCACATAAATCTTGCAAAAATAGTTCCAATGCTTTAGCTGCAAAAGTTTAACGAAAACAAAAAAAAAAACAATATAAAATGATATAAAAAAATGTCATAACATTGAAATTAAATGTGGGCACAAGAACACAATTGCAGATGTGGTTGTAAACTGAGTATGCTAATATGCACACTAAAAAGGGGAAAGCTAGCACAAAAAACAAGTTTGCAATTTTTCATTGCTGGAAAAAAAAAAGAAAAGAAAACTAAATATCAAAGAGCCTGTTAACAAAGCAGGTTCTCGACGGTCGCATGCATTTTATTATCAAGGCCCGGCTGCAGATCAGCTTACATCCCAAAATGCCGGTAGGTATCATGAATTAAGAGTCATAAAGAGAACGGTGTTCAGCATTGCAAGGCTAAGTGACACTATAAAGAATTTTTATTTTTTATATTTTACTATTTTGTTATAAAGAATATTGATGTTATAAAATAACATAACCAAAGGGACTAGCATCCGACTCCATTAGGGCTGTCAAAACGGCTCGTTGTTCGCAAACAACTCGTGTTTAGCTCGTTATGAAGTTCATGTTCTGCTCGTTCACTAAGTTAACGAGTCGAACACGAACAACACGGACAAATATTTGTTCGCTTGTGTTCGTCTCGTTTTAGCTCGAAATATTACTAATCAATTATATGTAAATCTTTGATGAGTAGTCTTTTTTAAAAATTTAATTGACTACAAGGCCACAAAGATTTATAATCAATTAAAAGTATTAATGAAGAAAATAGAATAAAAATTATTAAATTATATTCAAATGATGTTTTAAATTTTGCCCCAATCTTTAACATCTGATGGCTACGTGATTAGGATTGTCAAAATGACTTTTTGTTCGTGAACGACTCATGTTCGGCTCGCTAAGCAAACGAGCCGAACACGAACAAACTTTTTGAGCTCGAAATATAAACGAGCCGAACACGAGCTCAGCCTGGGCTTGCTCGTGTTCAGCTCATTTACACCCCTAGACACCATCACACTTCAACTAATGTAACAAACTGAAATTTTTTTGTCAAAAAATATGCTTTACGTAAAGTGTCAAAACAATCCCCTGACTATTTAAATGGGATCCATTTAAGTCCCATAATCTATAAAAATGTCAAATTAGTATCCATAAATTTTTAATATGGGTTGAAATAGGACTATTTCGGCCCCCATCAAGTATAGAGACAAAGTTGACACATTTATAGAGTCTGAAATTAAAATGAACCCCTACAAATAATCAGAGGACCATTTTGACAATTTCTCCAACAAAAAATAAAATGGAGCATTATTACATGCTAACCAAAATTTTATTAAACAGAGCATAAACAAATTTACTTTCATAGCATTCGAATTTTACTTTCATAGTGTTTGAAACATTCCTTTTAGGAAAAATTAAAAGAGAAACCCTCATATTATCCACAAGAATTGGCCATTAATGTTTCCACAATAGAAAGCAGGTATAACAAACTTAACTATAACTTCAAGAAAGCTTAGGGCCCATTTGGCACCATTTTTGTTTATTATTTTTGCTTTTATTTTTTCTTCTATTTTTGAAAATATGTTGGGTTGGTATAATTTTTATATGTTTTTTTTTTGTTTTATTTTAAAAAATAAATCAACTTGTCCATAAAAGCACTCAAAATACTAAAAAGATCTTTTGAGTATCTTTAAAAACAAATAACTCAAACGAACATGTTTTTATTTAAAATAAAACATACATGAATAAAATAAAAATAAAATATAAAGGTGATCCCAAATGACCCCTTAATAATCCTTTCGGGACTCAAAAAAGACTGCATAGGAACGATTACTAGGAAAAGTTTCCAAACATATTGACCACTGCTGATCGAAACTATTAAATAGCAGTGGATTACTCACAAACTAAAAGAGGTACAGCCAGTGCAATCTTTCCAACATCTTCATCTGTCTGCATTATTTTTTTAATCCGAGACTGCCAAAAGGAGAACATATAAGTTATGTCAGGTACAGACTTATCCAAAGGAAAAAACACATGGCAGGAGCAAATGCTTCATTGTCAATTACCTACAACCAGAGATTAATAAAAAGAAGCATACCAAGTAAAAAAAACAACTATATTGATCAAGAAATATAAATAAGCACAACTAGAAACCGCTTGCACGATGGAGGCAGATTGAGGATTGCTAGAAACTTATAGCTAAAATTAGAAGTAAATTTTTTAATCCATCTACATCCTATCCTATCCTATCTATTTACATATCCATAGATCTATCTAAATACGACAATAAGGTCATGTGAACAATCACAATAACATCAATAGATTTTATGGTGTAAGTTTTAAGAGAAATGGACCTAGTACCAGGTCACGTGAAATAATTTGAAAAATATGGATCTGTATAAAATGCCTTTACCCATAAACTAATACTCTTCCCGCATGAAACATAACCTTTCCAAAAAGAAACTTATTCTTATTGAATAAAAGATATAGCCAATCATCTTCACATTCAATAAGTTGACAAGAACAAACAATAATTACCAGAAAAGGTTACTTCCTCCAATAGCACATGCAGGAAGTGACGGTGGTGGAATTGGTGAAGGAAACTAATTGCCTAATTTATTTGGTGCGGGGGAAAGATGTAAGGTCTGATTAAAGTGGTTTGGGCTTGAGTAGTTCATGGTAAAATGGTTTTCCTATGTTGGCCAAGTGCTGACTTAAATGGGGGGCTTATGGGATTGTTTAGCGATGAAGCCGAGTGGTGTGATGGTTTAGGGAATTATTTGGAGGGCCAAACAAGGATATAGGCTCGGGTTTCAGTAGTCTAGAATAGGGGTATTAGTGAGCCGAGCTATCTCGAGCTTGACTCATTAAAGAGCTCCTGAGTCGAGCTTATTGAGGCGCGAGCTTAAGCTCGAGTTGACCCCAACTAATCAAGGTTGAGTCGTTGGCTTGCGAGCCGGCTAGATTAGCCGGATTCTAATCACATCGATGTCTTCTCTGGTGAGCAGCCATGACACTTATACTTCTCTCCTGCCATTGATGACTTAGATGGCTTCTCCTGCCATGACTCTATAATAGCTTGATTATATTTATATCTACGTAAAAACATGTGTGTGTGTGTTGCATATTCATGTCTTTATACTAGTATACAAATATGTACATATATGTGCGTAAAATTACATTATAGCTAGCATATGGCTTTCAAATTTACTTTGCATTCATGAATAACTCAAGCTCAACTTGATAAATCAACATGAAAACCACAAAAGAATTTGCTCATTAGCTTAACAAGCTTAGTCGAAAAACACTTGAGCTCACTCAAGCTTAACTCATTTACACCCTTGAGCACCAAGTCAAGCCTAAGAAATCAGCCACCAAGTTAAATCATAATCAGAAGATGAAGTTTCATTACAATGCCTTTCAACTTAATATAAACACATTTCCCTACTTATTGAACTAAAAAGTCAAATAGACAAGAGTGTAAGAGATCACCAATGCCAAGGGCCCTGAATCTTCTCTTCATATATGAAACTTCAAGAGGGGTTGGATTTACAAACATTAGCCTGGATTTGCAGTGTCTTTTGAATGTTCTTTTCAGGCATGAACCTTGTAGAGTCAATTAATCTAGACTTTTCATGATGATCAAGAAAATTGGTTCCGTGGAAGATGCAGTCAATTTTACATGAATTGAGTTTATTGAACTTACAAGACCATCCTTATATTTCATTATTCCAAAAAAATTCAACAAAAAAATTTATGCTATATAATATTTTTAAGAAAAAATCATCATCAAATTTCTTTGTTGAGTTAAATGAAAACAAGGGAATTACAAATTAGTTAAATTTACTCCCAATTACAAAAGCCACAAAATATATTAGCTAACACATTTCTAAGCTATACAAGAAGAAAATCCATGAATTCAACTTGGAAAAAATAAATGAGTGGCTAATTAGCAAAATGATGATATGAAGGATGTATAAAAGTTCAAACAAGATGGATCATGAGAGTATTGTTAAGTTAATATTATTTTGAACTCCTATCAATTGACAATTAACATTTATGTGATAAGTATTATTTTAAGGATTATCAATGCTATTGAGATTCATTGGTGGGAAACAAAAAAACTTAGATTCAACCTATGAGAATTGCTGAAAGATGGAAGATGGGTACTAATAGTTTATATGAAAACTAAAAAATGATAGTGAGAATTATTTATATTAGTCTCTCAAAGGGAGTGGCATGTACTGAAGGTTAAGTTATTTTTAACCAAAAAAAAAAAAAAAAAGAACACTATGAATTAAACATTTGAATTGTTCTCTAGTCCTACAATTTCAAATTTTATCCAATTTGAAAATTAAACTGAAACTTTTTTTTTTGTTTAATCTGTATGCAATTTAATTACAACATATGGATATGAAAACCAAAGAGGTTCTGGATGTTTAATATACCTTTAAAGAACATAAATGATAAACAGACTCCTTGGTGAAATAGAGTTCTTCAATTTTTTTTGGAAGTCAGCAATAGTTATGTTGGAGAACATTCTTAATTGTTTTCGTTACTAGGGACAAAATTAAGCCTACTTAGCATTGACACAAGGAATAGAATCATATCAAAGAGAATTTTACCCAAATTAATATTGCGAGTGTGCAAGGTTCTAGAGGTGTGTCAATGGTATTCATGGGGTTACAAAGTTGTATGCTAAAGGTATACGTGCATAGACACACATGGTAGTAGAGACACACACAACTGGCATTTGCAATTGCAGATATGCGCGCAAGTGGAGTGCCTGAAATTCTTCGCGATGCATGTAAAAGGTAGTGTTATATGTGGTGAGAGCTTACACGTGCCCTGCATATTTATGTGATGCTCATGAAGCACATGCAGACAGAGAGCAAAAAAATATTTGCCATTTGCATATACTTTGATGATGTGCTTTTGGTTTATAGAGATATGAGAGAAATAAAGGTAAGTGATGGCCCATATTCACAAATGGGGAGTCGTTAGTCAATGCTTTTATCATGTTGTAAATGAAAATTGCAAGTTTTGTGGGAGTTTATAAGTAGTACACTTGTATTGGGGTTAGTGTTGAAGCTTATTTTCTAGTGACTCTTGCTCGTTGTCTCTAATTATTTCAAGTGGTCCTAATTGTAAAAAGGCTGAAGTCCGGATTGCCCAATGAGTTTGGTTTTCACTACGAGGTTGTTTGGTTGGATATTTTTAAAACGCATAAATTTTAAATTTGAGTAATTGAAATGTATGTAATCATACGAGTTTTTTTATTAGATGTAAAACAAATGCATTGAATTTTTTTTTTGTTCTTCATGAAACATTTCAAATGCATTAAAAATACGATGAATGATGATGTGCAATAACGGGTGGTAGCAGGTAGTCACTAGCGTTCGCTGGCATGGAAAGGGGGTGGTTTGCTAGTAGGTAACAGGCAATTGCAACTGAAGGAAGAAGCAAAGAGCAGTGATATGCAGTGGTGGGGGCTGACTGTGATGCGAGATTGTTATTGTGAAAGGTAAGGTCACAGCATATTAGTTGTTCTTACTTTTATATTCATTTGATTTGAGTGGATTACAAATTCACCAAAAACAGTTATTGCAGACAATTTTATATCTACCACACAACTGATTTGTATTTGATTGATTTAAAACTAAATAAAACAATAAAATTCAACAACTTCTAAACTAAGCAACCCTTTAAAAAAGAAAAAATAAACTTTAGTGAACCTCTTAGCTTGTGAAATATATATATATATATACTTGAGATATATATATATATATATATATATATATATATATATATATGAACAACTCAGGAAGAAGAAGCAGATGATCGAACATAGCCTTCGACGATCGTTTTTGGCTGAATATTTGTAAGAGAAGTGTCTTGTTCGAACGATTGGTAGAAGGTGTCAGGAGAAGCTCTCGCAGGCGGTAATCATCTTTTAGGACGATCGACGGCGAGCACTTTCTCAGACTAGATATGAATCGAGTCAAGACTTACAAGTAGATCAACAGTCTTTATTGATTGAACTGATGTCTAGTCTTATTATATGCAAGTAACTCTTTAATTACTAAAAAGTCCTCATGAAAAATTAATGATGAGAGGGCTAATATGTACTTTTGTAATGCTGACACCTAGGCCTATCATGAATAAGACGCCGTCTTTTTACTCTTCCCTACTGCTTGCTCTCTCTCTCTCTCTAACTATTTCCTGGCAGAAAGTTCAATTTCTTGGGTGTATTTCCCGGACACTTAGGGATTCAACAATATAGAATTTTGTTCTATATTAATCAAAATGCCAGACAACAAATTATGGGCGTGAATTTGGGTTCAAGTCTGGCCAAAAGTTGGTCCAACCCAAATATGTTACCATTTTATTATATAGATTAAAATATTAGACGCAAACCCACCAAACACATTTATTTTATACATTATACAATTCTTGGGATCAACACAACCAAATTAACATTAATATGTTTAAGAAAGTTTATCTGACCCAAACTAGCCTAACCCAAACCCGAACAATAATCAAGCCAATTTTGGATTTTTTGTGTCAGCATGAATCCCACCCAAATAATAATCAGATTTATAATTTAAACCCAAACCCCACACGCATAATAATCAAATCAACCTGAACCTTAATTTTGTTTTGGGCCAAGTCATTTATTTACACCCCTACAACAGATAGGACACGCGAAACAATAAAAACAGTCGTGCATGCATGAATATGGGTGGCCATTCATAGCCAAACTTCCAATTGCAGAACTATAAAGCACTCCAGCAAAAACTCATGAACGCCATTATTCAGAATAAATCACAAACAGCAAGAACCTCGTGCAGGCTGATCAATAATAATAAGAAAAAAAGTATATACTGAGAACATATTAAGTACCAAATTAATAGAACAAAATGTCCATTCATCACAAAAACTATCCTCACACAGCTCTTTCAACACCATCACAGCAGAATACACAAAGCCCTAACCTCCTCCATCGATTAACATGGCTTAAAACCATTCCAAGCCCGAAATCACCGAAATTACAATGAAAGAAACAGCCCCCGTCAATCAAATCAATCCCATAGCACTAAACAGAGGCAATACAAAAGAAAAACAAGTATACTGGAGCAAGAAGAACGCACTGCAGGAAAACGAGTATCGAGTCTCTTCCTCATGGCTTCATTAATCGACGCACAGCAGAGCAACTAGGAGTCTTAAGGCACGGTCGATTACTTGCGCCGCCCGCCTTCTAAGAAAAGAATCGAACGCCTTGGAGTGTGAGAGAACCGGAAGTGGAAGGAATGAAACTGGGCTTTGGATTTGGCTGGAAGTCCATCTTCTTCTGGAATTTTGTTCAGCGAACCAAATCCTCTCCCTCTCAAAAAGCGCGAACGGAGGGCGAAATTACATAAAACGCCCTCACAGAAAACGTTTTCCCGAGATCCTGCTGCTTCCCAGCGTGGTTGGCTTGTGATTTCGAGGCGCTTTTGCATGCTTATCCCCAAAAACGTTAAATTTCAAATGACGTGGAAAACGGAACAGTTGGAATTTATCAAGGAAAGATTTACGTTTATACCACTTAATGTATTTACTTTTCAACTTTTATGTATATATAACACATATAACACTAAGAATATATATATATATATATATATATATATATAAGAATTAAAATTATAATATTTTTATTGTGATTTGAAGATTTTGAGTGGGATAAATATAAGAAAATAAAATTTAGATGTTATATTTAAATATAGAGGAATTGCATGGGAGCCATTTTGGCATAGTGGTTGAGAGCTTTGTCTTACAACCAAGAGGTTCTAGTTTTAAAATCTAATATTTATGAGGTGCATGAATCTGAGTGTGTGTGAAAATATATATATTTAAAGCCGGAGATTGTCAGATGTTGATTTTGTCTTAAAGTTGGTTGTGACGAAATGGAAGACATTTGAAACATCAAGTTAATTGATGTTCCAATCGTTATTAAAAGTGACGATGAGTAGATTTTAATTGTGGGCATTTTTGCTACTAAGCTAAATGTGTCATCAAACTTAACATCATTTTCTTGTTTGGAGTCTCATGCAACATGTCTGGATTACAGTTGTCTATGGAGTCATCATCATGAAATTTGATTTAGTAGACGTATCCGCAACCGGAGAAATTATGGTAAGAAGGAAGAGGAACAAGAAACACTTTGAAGTCAATGATCGTTGTGTGTTTTCAGTGTGAACATTTTTTAATCATGGAAGGAGCGTGTGAGATTAATGGAAGGAGAGATATAGGTTTGCATGGAAAGAATTGTTTTGGTTTTAAGTGAGCTAATGCTATATATGGATCATGTGATGTTTGACTTGAAGGAGGGATGAGGCAGGGTAGGTTGTGGATGTTTTGATGAGTTGTATACTCATTTTGTAGTATTTTGGCTAAGTGAGGTTAGGAGGTTGGAAGAATAGATGTGCCTATTTATTATGTTGGAATAAGATAATTGAGGTAGTGTAAGGGGATTGTTTGGTGATGAGAGATGGGACGAGGAGAGGAAGAGAGATAGAGTTTGTGTGTTGATTAAGGTGAATATTTGTATTGTGATATGAAACAAGGAAAGTATGATTCATTAAAAGCTATTTTGCATGATAGGATGGTATTATTAATGATTAGAAACACACACACGCAAAGATATATATAATATATATATATATATATATATATA